GTGATCCTTCATGCCTCAGCCTCTCAAGAGCTGGGATTAAAGGCATGCACCACCACACCCAGATGGAAAGATAATTTAAAAGATTTAAACCCATATGATGGGAAAAAAGAGAACTGATGTAACAAAATTTGGGAGGTAACAAGAGGTAAAGAAACTGAATCCTAAATTACTAATGGGAGAGGCAGAGGCTCAGTTTAAACCAGAATCCCCAAAGGTTCAGGACTTCAAAGCTTTAAAACTGAGGGGAGTAGGGTGGGATGAAAATAAAAATAAAGCTGCTCTGCTCCCAGCAGAAGACACTCTTTGTCTCTGCAAAGGGCAAAGCAGAGTCTCCAGATTCGAATGCCAGGCACAGTTGATGAGGACGTAATGGAGAAATGAAATAAGCAAATTACAGCTTTTTTTGAAAATTATGGTTGCTGGTTTTTCCCTTTGTCAATAAAAGAACCCAATTAAGATGATTTATTGGTGCAAATCTCATACTTACCTGTTGCTGTACCTCTCCCATTATTATGTCTGCCATGTTGTTATTGGGCAAATCTTGAGGTGTTTTTATTTATTTTGGTGTTGCTGGAGGTTGAACCCAGGCCCTTTGCATTCTGCTACATCCCCAGCCCTTTCTTTATTATTTTCATTTCAAGACAGAGTCATTATTTTCAAGACTAAGTCACCATGTTCCCCAGGCTGGCTCCAACTTACAGTCTTTCTGCCCCAACTGCCAGAGTGTTGGGATTACAGGCATGAGCCACCATGCCCACATGTGACGTTATTAAAAGCAAAAATCTCCAAAGAGACATTTGCAAACCTGATTTTTGCTTTTTGAGTTGAAAATGTCGGACATCGCGTATTTGTGATGCATATGTGACGATGGAACTACCCAGCAGGTGCTCCCCACTGAGCTATGGCCCCAGCCAATTAATGTCATCTTAACTAACCACCTTTATTATAAAGTATATACTCCTATACTGTATCCACATCGCAATAAATACTTGGGATGTTTGTGCTTCCATTTTTTATTGATTGGAACAGACCGTAGTTTTGTAGGCTTGAGATTGCTTAAAATTCTAGCTGTGGTATTTAATATTCTAAGTCGGTTTCTGAATCTCTGAAAGAACATCAAACTTGATTGGCAAAGCCTAGTTTTAACACATTCAGTCTGTGGGGAACACAGCTGAGAACCGAGATGTCTAAACGCTCAAAGGATCCGATGCTAAGGCTCTTTAATCTTGCCCCAGAGACAGGCCCACTCCATGCTTATTTTATAGGTAATGTTAATAAGCATGATGATTTGGTTTCCAAGTCGAGAAATTAGGAGAGGAGAGGTATTGGTAGGATAGTCACAGGAAAAGTGATAACTTTCAGCAAAACTAAAAGGAAAAATTTGGGAGGGGAACTTTTATTTGTTTTTGGATTTTTTGTGCTGGAGATTGAAGCACTCTCCCATGAGCCCCCCACCCTAGAAGATATTTTATGAAAGCTCTACAGTCTGGCCATTGGATGTAGGATACATGAAACTCTCAGCTCAGAAAATTTTGCCTTTGTTTTAAGAACACAGGAAGGTATACAAGAATGACTTTTTTTTAAAAAATCAGAAACAGGCCCTAGCATCCACAAGGCCTTGAGTTCAATCCCTGTACCCCCCCCCAAAAAAAGATAAAAAGAAACAAAACAATTAAAAAATCAGAAATAGGAGGAAAGGGTTTGTTTACTAAAATAGCAAACCTTACTTATCTGGAGAATATTTTCTTGAGCAGCAATTTCACGAAAGTTCTGAGTTGCTGGTTTTTTGAGACAGGGTCTTGCTGTGTAGTTCAGGCTGGCTTTGAACTCTTGGTGATCCTCCTGTCTCAGCCTCTGGAGTGGTGGTGTTACAAGCATGTGCCACCAGGCTCGGCTAAAATGTTTACCGGTTTTGTTAATTGATTGCTTCACTGAAATAATTCCATAAAGTTTTTGTTGTTGTGATACTGGGAATTAAACACTAAGCTATATCCTCAGTCCTTTTTATTTATTTTGAAACAGTGTCCTGAACTTGTAGTCCTTCTGCCTCAGCTTCCCACATGTACCACCTTGCCCAGCTAGTATTTTTGCAAAGAAAATAGCTGTAGAAACACTTTTTGTTGTTTGTTGTTGTCTTTTTTTCTTTTTTTTTTTTCCCAAGACAGGGTCTTACTATGTAGTTCAGGTTGGCTTTGAACTCACCGTGATCCTCCTGCCTCAGCCTCCCCAGTGCTTGAGATTACAGGAGTGTGCAACCACACCCGGCTTCTGCTCATGTGTACTTCTGAAATGAACCTATAATTTTAGTTTTGTTTTTTGGGGTTTTTTGGTACCAGGGATCGAACTCGGGACCTTGTGCTTGCGTGGCAGGTGGTAGAACCACTGAGCTAAATCCCCGGCCCTATAATTTTAATTTTTAATACTGCTTATAGTAAGTAGCTCTCTTCTGGGAGCACATGTCTTCTACAGGTGTATAGGAGAACCTGGAAATCTCAAGTTTCTAATGGATGACGTGATCATTAAAATATCCCTGAATTTATGTTGGGATACAAATACTCAGTATGAAATGTCTGTCTTCTGGTCTTCTGCTTTATCCACCTCATTTCACATTCTCCCAGATATTACAAATAAATCATCCTTGTGTCTGATTCTGCCTATGTCCCATTGCTTCCTGCTCTTCTCATCTTTTCTGCACTTGAGGGCTGTGGTGCTCCTTTCTGCCCTCCTTGGTCACAGGTTCTGGAGAGATAATCGCCTGAGGGAATTCCTTCGTTTGGTATCACCAGTCCCCCATCCTGAGGGTCCTCTTAAGCCTCTTAGCAAAAGCAGGGGTGGATGATAACTCTGGCATCTTAAACACAAGTCCGTCAGAAAGGGCCTTTGCTCTTTCCTCTAAGCCAGCAACATTGTCTTCTGATTCCATGGTCTAAGTTTGCTTTTTGGTCGACACACACACACACCAATGTCTTGGGTCCTCGTAGATCTCAGAGATGATGATTATGAGTGACTCACCTTCCTTTCAGACACCCATATAGTCTGCGTGTTTATCATGTCGCCTGAGAAAGCCCACTTTGTTTTGAAAGAATCTACAATTTAGGGCTGATTACTTTCTCATTTGTAGCTCAGTCTTAAACCTCTGTTTTATAAGGTTTTTTATTTCATTTTGTTTTTGTTATATTTTTATTTTAATCTTTCCCTGGCTCTATTGAGATATGAATGACAACTCAATTTTACAACATGATGTTTTAAAACAAATGTGAGATATAATTGAAAATATAGTTTAATGTTTAATTTTTTGAAATTCATTCCAGTAAAAAAATTACCATTAATCTTACTTTAGAATATTCCCTCACTTTGAACACACATATCCTATCATTCTCAACACTTCTGCAGCAGCTCTAGAAGTCCTCTTTCCTGAGTATATTTAGTTGGCACTTATGGCTGCCTTGATGTCCCATTTCCCTTTCGTGGTCATTTTAACTTTGGGAAAAGATCCAGGAGTCACATGGTGTCAGATTGGGTGAATAAGGTGGGTCACATCACAGTGTCGTGTTTTTATGAGTCTGCTTTTCTGTTGGATGGCACTCAGTGGTGCCAGTATTCAGTGTATTTTGATCACACTTTGCAAAGACACAAAAGAAGACTTCCAAAACTGCTTCATAAAGTAGCAAGAACAGTGGAATACATGTTTGTTTTACTAGAGAAACATTTAATGCAAGATATACAAATATATAAGGATTTACAAGATTAGCTTACAGTGGCCGCCCACAGAGTCAGGTGTTAAAAAGTGCAAAAGGCCTGCCTGTGCCCTTGAGATCCAAAGGATCCAGTCGAAGGCCTGGAATTCACTGTAGTATCCCATATGAGTCCGAATCAGGAGGCTGAAGTCTGTGCTGGAAGCCAGATGATGTCCAAGGTGAAGATGAAGACTGAGCTCTGAAGAAACAAGCAGGCCTTCTTTGTTTCTCTTTTATTCCATTCAGGCTACAAGCCTGTTGGCTTCTGTCACTCACACCCAGGGTGATCTTCTGTCTTCAGTAAATCCTTTCGGCCACACCCAGAACTATGTTGATCCAATTTAGTTGGGCTTTTTTTTTTTTTTAGTACATTTTAGATACACATAGTGATAACATTCGTCATAGGGAATTTGTACGTGTACATGGTATATCTTGTTTCTTCCTTCTCATTCACCTCCCCTCCCTCAACCCCCACCCCCCCCTCCTTGTTCCCCTTCTCATTTGAACATTTTCTTCCCATTTCCCAATCTTTTATACATTTTGATCCTCATTTATACTTTTGGTATCTCACACCAGAGAGACAGTGCAATACTTAAACGTGTGTCCAGTTTATTTCACTTAAAAGTGAAATACAATGTATAATAGATATGGGGAAATGGGAAGAAAATGTTCAAATGAGAATGGGGAGATAGGGGGAAAGGAAAGAAGGGACAAAGGAAAAAATAGATAACATGTACAGGTACAAATTCCCTAGGATGAATGTTATCATGTATATCTAAAATGTACCAATAAAGGTTTGCTTAAAATATAAATGTGTGTGTGTGTGTGTGTGTGTGTGTGTATGGGATACATGTTTGTTTGAAGCAAGGGGGAGTATTTTCAGGGCAGTTAATAGCAGTGTGTCTTCTGCAATAAATTGTTTATTTAAATATCCACTGCATATTTTGATCGTACCTCATACATTGTGAGGTGATTGCCACAGTATAATTTCAAGTATGCAGTGCTACTCAACATAGTCACCATATGGTATGTTAGATCTCCAGAAGAAGTCATACAGGTGTCAAATAATATTGCCTGTTTTATTGGGCTTGTACCATCTTGGTCTGCCGTACACCTGTACAAACTATGTGAAGTTCCTTGGACTGCTAATTTCTGGTGGAAATGCTGGTTACTAACTGGTAACGTGGGAGCTACTTTGCATTGTCACTGTCTTCGTGCATCAGCTCTTATTTCTGAATTTGGCTTTTTTGCAGGTCCCTAGCTGTTGGTAGTAAGTCCGGTTATAAATTTTTCTCCCTTTCTTCTGTGGATAAGCTGGAACAGATCTATGAATGCAGTAAGTGTTTGTTTTATTTTTCCTCTTCTTAAAAACCATAGTCCAGTTGTACTTGAATTGAAATGCAGTCTTAAGTTCAGACCTGTAGAGGCTGAAGTCCTGACCGCACCTAACCAGTTCTCTTCTTCCACCTGGGTCTCTGTAAGACGTGACACTGGTGATAGTCTGTGGATGCTGTTCTAGATCTTTTTCTGTGCATTTGCATACATATAAATGTACATTTACAGTTTTGTTTTATGGGCTTTTTCAGTGAACTTATATGTATTATTCTGTAATCTCTCCCTCCTTTTCAAATGCCATTTAAACCATTTAGGGTACTGCCATAGAGGGCTTCCAGAAAGTGGAAAATGTTATAGTACCTCTCAGAATTTGTTATTTCCTTGAGTTGTCATTTTATAGCTTTTGTAGCTACATATCAGAGAGGCAGCACGGGGTAGCAGAAATGTCATACACTTTGGCTTCTTGCTCCATCACTTAGTGTGTGGCTTTAGATGGATTACTTCATCTCTGGGCCTCAGTTTCCTTTTATTTTTGGCAAAACAACTAATGCCTGGATTAGAAGTAATGAAGAGATAGCAGCATAGGCATAGATCCACCAGTGAGATGACAGTGGAAAGCTTTGGGTTCTTTCCATGTACATAATTTGTTACATTTAGATTCACTTACAGCTATAAGAAATAATGCAGACCCTTCATCCAGTTCCCCCAGTGGTAAAATCTTGCAAAGCTTTAGTATGGTACCACAGCCAGAACACCCACATCCATCTGTCCTCTTCATGGCACTGCAGCTTTACTTGTGTGTCTGTAAGTTCTCTGTACAGTGTCAGCACCCGAGGAGATTCCTGAACCTGCCACAGTCAAGGCACCGAGCAGTTCCATGGAGGCCCTTCAGGTCACCCTTTATGACCGTACCTGCCTCCCTGCCGCTGCACCCACATCTACCCTGATCCCTGGCAGCCCCTAATCTGTCCTCTGTTTCTCAAGTTTGGAAGTTTTTTGTCAGTTTTTATCACTGCAACAAAATGCCTGGAGCAAGTTAACTTAGGAAGTTTATTTAGCTCACCATTTTGGAGGTTCAAGAGCCCGATGCTTGCTGCCTATCCTGAGTTCTGGTGAAGACCCCACAAGTCTGTCACATCTGTGGGAGCTTAGGTGGGAGCAGGTGGTGACATCTGGAAATCAGAGAGCACTCATGGGGCCAGGCTTGCACTTCATGGTTCTATGTTAATCTCTTGTGAGGGAGGACAGACCCCCGGTCACCTGAGGGCCTTCTGCTAGGGCCATCCTCTTAGAGGTTCCACCACGTCTCAGTAGTGTCACCGTATCGACCAAGCCTCCAGCCCACGCACCTATGGGGAGCACTCAGACTAAATCCACACCATAGCAGATGGGTATAGCATTCTGTGATTGGGAATTCTTCCAAGTTGTATGTATCAATAGCTCATTCCTTTTAAGAATGACTAGTGTCCAATGGTTTGAACACACCTCAGTATAACCATTTTCCTGTAGAAGGACATGTGGGCTGATTCCAGTTTTCACCTATTACAAATTAAGCTGTTATGTGGCTAGGTGTGGTGGTCAACACTTGTACTTCCAGCTACTCAGAGCCTGTGGCAGGAGGATCACAAAACCATACTGGGCAACTTAGCAAGACCTTGCCTCATAAATGGGGAAAAAAGGGCCTGGGTAGTGTGCGCCTGGTTTCAATCCCTTTTACTACCCTTGAGAAAGAAAAGGGGCCTGGAAAGGCGAAAGATCTGTTATGAGCATTTGTGATAGGTTTTTGTGTGTGCATAGGTTTTCATTTCTTGGAGGTAAATGCGCAAGAGTGCAATCACTGGGTGGAATGGTAGTTGCATGTGCAGATGCTTAAGAAACTGCCACAGTGTTTTCCAGGCTCGCTATAGCATTTTATGCACCCGCCAATCATAAGTGGCCAAAGTTTGTCTGCACCCTTGCCAGCACTGTCGCTATGTTTTTCTCAGTCACTCTGATAAGCATGTGTAGTGCTATCTCAGTGTGGTTTTGTGTTCCCTTACCGCTGACTGTGTTCAACATCTTTTTGTGAGCTTGTTGCTGTCTGTATGTCCTCTTTGGTGAATCATCTGTTCATGTATTTGCCCACTTTATAATTGGACTGTTTGTTTTTTAATGCCATTCTGTGAATTCTTTATGTAGTCTAGGCTATTAGTCATTGTTAGTATGTGGCTTATAATTATTTCCACTCCGTCTCTATGTAACATTTTGAGTAGACCTGAACTGGCCAGTGGCTAGGACCTAAGGATCCTTGTTAGAAGGAAGTAAGGAGCATAGTATTCATAATTTACGCCTTGTGATTTGTTCCACTGGGATAGGTTCAGGAAAAGACTGAATCTTTATCATTGAGCATAAAGTTATGAGAAATCGGGTTTCCTCCATATTGGCAATGCCAGTATTTCCTTCTGAGTGTTCTGGCATTGCCAACTTTGCCTTCTCTGTGCTTTGGCTTTCATTTTGGAATTCCACCTTTTCCACTGGTGTCTCAAGAACGAGAGGTTTCACCAGCTAATGTGAATGGAAATCTCCTGTCACTCTCACATCTGCTCATGCAGCCACATGTTTTAATCTTTAGGGTCTGCCATGTGCCAGTCTGTTCTGGTGACTGGAGAGGAAGAAGGACAGCATCCTTGCCTTTGTGACACTTGTATCTAACTGGAAGAAGAACGGGAGCTAATGTGTTAGCCAGGCATGGCGGCACGTGCCTGTAATTCCAGTACTCTGGGAGGGAGGCTAGGACAGGAGGATTGCCAAGTCCAAGCCCAAGCCCAGCCTGGGCAGCTTAGTGACTTAGCGAGACCCTGTCTCAAAATAAAAAATAAAAAGGGCTGGGGATATAGTTCATTGCAGAGGCCCTGGGTTCAATCCCCAGTACTTAAAAAAAAAAAAAAGTAAATATGTCTGTGTCAGGCTAGGCTGGGGGCCTGTACACTGGCAATCACAGACACAGTAGCGCCCATCCCATTATAAGGGGAAGATACCAGGGCTTCTTTGTGCCGCTTCCTTGAAATGGCGGTGTTCCTGGCCCCCTCACATTGGATGGCTCCCTCAGTGGAGTGTGTGTGACTCCCCCAGCAGTGCCCTGCTGTAGCTGCCCTGATGGTGAACACCGAACCCTTAACAGGGAGAGAGCAGCACTAGGCTTCTTAGACTTGGTTCCCTGACCCATGGTCCCTGCTGGCTGTCTCAGACTTCACTCCTCTATTGTCCTCAGACTTGTCTCCTGGTGCTTACAAGGTCTTGTGTAACTGAAGATGTGATCTAGATAAAATAGGTGTGAGCCGAGAATGTAGCTCAGTGGTGCAGCGTCTGCCCAGCAAATGTGAGTCCCTGAGTTTGATTTCCAGTATCAAAAAAAAAAGTAAAATAGGTATGAACCAGGGCCATATTGCTGGAGATCTCCAAACAGGACCTTTCCTTTGGAAGGATGGCCCTGTCTCTGCAAATGGGTTCCCTTGGCTTTGATGAATGGCTGAAACATACGTTAAAACTATATCCAAAAGAAAGTCCCTGATTTATGCTATTAAATTGTTGCCGCCGTCGCTCTTGTCTGTTTTTAAACCCACAGAATCTCCCTCCCTGTTTGGAGACCAAGGGCTTAGACAAGGGTAAAAGAATACCAAAACTTGGTTTTGCCTCTTCCTCAGTGTAAACCTAGTTGACTAGCTTCAGCACCTGTTTGCCAGAGGCTTTGATGGTGTGGAATGTGATCTCTTGATAGCTAGTCTTCTAAGGAGAGACTGTTTACTGACTGACATTGATTTGTGTTCCCCTTAGTGAACTTAGATCCTTAAAAATAGATGATGAAATGGACAATGAATATTTTCAGGGCTAACACTTTAAACTGCAGCTGTTTCATTGTTCTGTTCCTAGAACACTATCTCCCTTTCCTCTCTCATATATTTTCTTTGAGTCGATAAGAGAGTCTTGGGAAACAGGGTAGGCTCTGAGTAAATGTCCAGGTTGCTTTCTAGCATTTTTCCATGGGTGGACTTAGCAAAGAATCTCACTTCCTATCTCGTTATTTTAGTGCAGGCTGGGTATTGGCTCATACCCTCCTAACTCTTAGCATGCATCATAAAGCTAGATCTTTGCTATCAGTCTGTCTCACTGCTACAGAAAGAATGAGCCAGAGCTGGTCTGGGGAGAAAACAAGACTGACAACTTCTGGTTCTTTCATTTCTTTAAATACAAGACCCAAAACCTTTACCCCACAGCACTGGAAGATTTTTACTGTCTCTGTTGTCATTTCAAACTTAAAGATAGATTGCAAGAACTCCTGAGCGTACCTCACCTGTTGTCTGCTTATGTCCTGTGTGCTTTCTCCTCCTTCCTCTGCAGGACCAGTTCTTGTTTGAGGATGCATTGTACACAAATGTGGTCTCTCCTCCCTAAAATACTACTGCACTGGTATCTTCCACTTATGCAAAATGAATAGAAGGTGGGGATTTACTATTGCAAAATATAACAAAAGTTTAGGAGCTTGCTTGTTCAGATTCTACATTGGGCCTTTTCTTTGCACCTTAGAATTTTCTAAGCCAGGAAGCATCACTTAATAAAGCATGCAGTTCCAAGACACTGCATGAGCAAAATGTTCCTTAGCTCAGCAAAAGTGACTGGAGCTCTGTAAATTATACAAATCATCCATCGCCTTGTAACACCTTTATCAGCCTTCTTGCTTGGCCAAGAAACCAATCACCATTTACTTTACTGGCTATCATCTCCGTCTTAGGGTCTGAGAAATGGTGCTTTCTGACTCATTCCTACTTGACAGGCCACTTGCCAGTTGGAGTATTAATTTCAGTGAGATTTATAGTAATGGAGAAACTGGTTGCCTCTCTATGCCTGAACCTTTGGTAATGGAATATTGGACTCTTAACTCCCATCCCTGCAGAGCTCCAGTCATTGGACAGGCTAATGCAGAAGTGTGTTCTATCAATTATTTAGAGGCTTTGTTCTTTGCTT